CAAAAAAGGAAAGGAAAAAAAAAACTCCAGAAAAGTTTTCTGTGTGAAGATCGGAGTGCAGGGTCAATTGGGTTTTTTCTTATTCTTTAGGAATATTATTTTAGAGACATGAACCTGGAGACAGAAAGCAGAGGAATAAGAGATATGTACAAGGGACGAGAGGTTTTAAGGCACTGTTTGGCTTAGTTTTAATTTTATTTTTTCACGAAAATAACCGTGTTCTTAACGGGGTGAAGTATCCGTACACTTTGCTGATGTCAATATGATGTAAAATTGGACAAACTCTCCTGTCCGTGTTTGAATCTATTATTTTCAAAAATAATGCTATTTAACTCCATACAATCTCAATTTGAAGAACTGCTACACTTACAGTTATTAGAGGGCTGTAAATTTTACCGAACAAACTCTCATGTCTGCGTTTGAATCTATTATTTAAAAAAAAATGCTATTTAACTCCACCGTTACAATCTCAATTTAGAGAACTGCTACACTTACGGTCATTAGAGGGTGGGCCCGCCCTCTAATAACTGTACAAGTAGTATTTTTGCTCAATTTAAGTGACATTATACAGCATTAAATGATATGCGAGTTATTTAATTTTATATTCTAAACTCGGATTCTAACCCCGATGAAATTACGTAACATCACTCTATTTAAAATTGATTTCCCTTCAATTTCATTTCTAATTACAAATCCTCTCAATAAAATAATTTTATTTCTTACCAATTGATTGACGCGTGAATAAAAAAATGAGATCCACTATTTTAAATAATAACAAAAAAGTAATAAGTTTCATACTTCGAAAATACTAAAAAACTTCTCCAAACAAAGATGCTGCAAATGATTAAAATTTAAAAACGTAATTAGATCCTTTACAAACAGGTAATTTTGTTCCCTGTTTACTTTTATATATATATATGCTTAATTTAAGTTTCTATTTGGTAAAATTTCGTTCAAATTTTAACTGGTCAAATTTTAATTTTAATCATTGATATTAATAATTAAAAATTTTATGATTATCAACTTTCAACTATATATTTCATTAATTTTATCTGTGTGCTAAATTTTCTTTATCAAAATCTTCGTCAAACATCCAATAAATATCATAGTACTATTATGTCTAAAACATCATGTCAAGTTCGGTCAAGGCACGCTCCGATACGTAAATATGATTTTCTTTAATTTATTGTGAAGCTTTGCCATTGTTGTCGACATGTACACTCGTTTTTATTGAGGCCTTGTTTGGGAGAAATTAAATTTTTTTACAGTAAATCAATTTTCATTTTCAACCATACATTTTTCAATNTCTCATTTTCAACTACACATTTTTCAATAAAATAATATTTTCCATCATATCAATAATTTTTTCTTCTTTTTCAACCACACATTTCTCATCATATCACTATTCAAAATCAATTCTTCCCACAAAAATCTCTCCCAAACAAGCTCTCAATCTAATCAACAATTTCATCCCTAATATGTTCATCTAAATATCTTCAATTTTTTTAAAAAAAATTATTACACGAATTTTTTTCGTTATGCTCAATTTGTCGTTACTCCTAATAAAAATCTAATGCAATAAATCTTAGCTCATGTTTGACAAACAGTTTTGAGATAACTGATATATTTCATAAAACATAGGTTCATAAGCGAATAAAGTTTGACAGACTTATAATCTCAAAAAGGTTGCCAAACAAGTGTTTAATTTGATCATAGTATCAACTGAGATTTTAGGAAAAAATAAATAAATAAAAAGTGAAAAAGATCTTATGAGTAGAATATTAACCTTTAGATGTATGGACTTATACCGAAAAATGATTTTGAATATAAAAAAATTAAAAACAATATTTCTATATTTTATTCGAAAAAATGCACAACTTAAATTCAAAATATTATTATTTATTGAGATAAGTCGAAACAGGCCCTTAGTTATGGGAGCAAAAGGAAAGCGCGTTGAAATGTAAGGAAGATGACTGACAACCGGGTGAAGGGGTAATTCTTTTTTCGTATTTGGCCGTACAGATAAGACGGCGCTTTAAATAAATGTGTATAGTATTATAATCAGAATCGGCTGCTCACCCAATTGTAATTAGGGATGACAACGATTCGGTTCGGGATCGATTCGGTCAAAATCATAACCGCACCACCAATTTTTTGGTCATACCACAACCGTACCATAACCACGAAAGTCGGTTCGGTTCGGTTCGGTTTGTATCTCGGTTTGGTTCGGTTAATAACCACGAAAATAAATTATTTTTTATAGGTCCAGTCGTCAACTTGAAAAAAAATAATTTACGAAAAAAAGTCAATGAAAGTTAATAGTACTAGATATAAAATTACATATAGAGCCAATTTTTGTTTCTCATTTTCTTTTTCTCATTTTAGATACGTACTACACATGGTCAAGTGAACAACACACATTCAATACGGTAAAAATGAAAATGGTAATATACTTACCCTTGACTCATGAACTAAAACTATTCGTGCAAGCAAAATGCAAGAAAAATTCAAATACTGAAAAAA